TCCTATGGGAAAGGTTCTATGATCATATCCCAGAACATCCTTGAGTATACTGGGTACGTGTGTGCCTGTGATCTGGGCCAGCTAGGACTGGGGTTAGTTTGGGACATGAGGATGTTGTTGGGTGCCTGTCTTTTTGCTTCTCTCTCTGTCTCTCTTTGGCTAAAATAAATTTAAAGAAAAAAATTTTTTTTTAATTTCAAACTACGTGGTAATGAAAACACTATTTGAAGTTTATGGAATTCACCTAAAGCTGTGTGCTTAGAGGAAACTATTGTAAAAAACACAATTTGCTCATAATTGTGAAAGATGGGCTGTTACTACAGATACTACAACCATTAAGAGGATAGTAGCAAATGCTATAATATGTACAGTTCTATTTATGGAGATTTTATTATAGGCAAAACTAATTTCTGGTGTAAAAAAATTATATCAGTGATTGCTTGTCAGGGGAAGGAGGGAACTGACCACAAAAGAAAAGAACTTTCTGGGGGTGGTGATAATGATGTTCTGTACCTAGTCTGGCAGTTCTTTAGTGTCAAAACTAATAAAACTGTACTTTACGTTTCTGCATTTTATTGTACGTGAACCATATTTCAGTAAATCTTACTTACTATGAAAGGTTTAGGGGCCAGCAGGTGGCATAAGGGTTAGGGCACTGGACTACCACATGGCTGACAGCAGTTGGAGTCTAGGACCTGGAGGCTTGAAACTCTCGCAGGGTGCAAGTGTATGCATACCCTGATTCCTAGGAGGAGAGGGGAGGAGAAGAGACTGCAGCGTGGCCATCCTTCCTGGGTGGTGATTTCTCACTTTCCCTCTCACTATCTCTCTGTATCTCTTGGGCAGGGGCACATGCTCTATGGCGAAAACCATAAATAATTAAATACATAGATTACTGAGAGAGGTGAGAAGAGTCATGGCCTCTGCTAACGATATTACTACAAAGTCAACTACAAAGTCAAGTATAGGGACTTTGTGAACTTCACCTAGACTTGATGGAACACAGGAAAATTTCCTGGAGGAAGTGATGTAGAAACTGAACCTGAAGCTTGAGGAAGATTTTTTTTGCCAAATCTGTGTTTGGGTGGTAGACAAGGAGAAAATGTTTTAGGCAGAGGAAATAGTTTGTTTAAAGACACCGAAATGAGAGAGAATGACTAAAAGAACTGAAGGAATAGAGATGAAAGATACTCAAGATAGAACTGATAGCCTTGTCAAAATAGTTTTAGTTTAGTGTTATTTAGTTGTCTTTAGTGGGTCTGGTCACATTCTGGAGAGTCTGGATTAGTATTTTTTTTAAAGAGTTATTTATTTAGTTTGATTTATTCATTCATTTATTTTAATTGAGAGAGACACAGAGAAAGAGAGCGAGGGAAAGTGAGAAAGGAAGCCACCAGGTCAGGGACTCGAACTGTGGTCGGCCATGTGGGAGTGTTCAGCGCCTTAACCACCATGCCACCTGCTGGTCCCACTATTTTAAGTAAAGAACATAGGCAATAATATCCAAGTAAATGGGACCTTTCAAATTACTTTTGTAAAAGTGAGATTAGGTTTAGTTCATTAGATATCTGGCTTGGGAGATAAATGAAAGTAAGTAAACATGTCAAATGCACCACCTTTACTCTTAATGTTTGTTTGGACTGAAATGGTACATAGTTGTACAGAAGTAGTAATGTATATTAGAAGAGATTAAAATAATGCATACTTGAACTTGTCTCGTGGCACCTCTCCTCAAAACAACTCTTGTGTCATTTGAAAAGAGCTTTTCAGATCATAGACCAGAAGGCACCCCCTTTGTAGGGGTGGTTGCCTACTGTGCGTTCCGAGTCGGTGGTGTTAAAAACCATTGTTTCCTCAGCTTGCTGTCCTTCTGTGTGCTGGTGTTCGATCTCTGTGACCCTTGTTTTCTTTCCCACCCCTAGGGGTTGTCTTCAAGCTATTGACTTCTAGGGTTTGCAGATTTTGCAATGTGGCACTTCTTTTTGGTTTATAGGTTATTTCTCCAGGGGAAGAGGCAGTAATTTTCCTAAAACCCATGTGAATGTGAAGAAAAGCAGTATGTGACTGGTCGTTGTTGTTTTTTATAGTGCAAAATAAAAATAGTAAAAGGGAAAAAAAATAATGCATCAAGTATCTGTAATTTCATCGTGAAGCTTTGAAAAAAAAAGATTTACTATTCCCAACTCAAACCAGTCATGGACAGAGGAACATTTCATGAGTAGGAGCTCAAGGGACGTTGGCTGAGACGCTATCACTCTTCATTGGCACAATCAATTCAACTGCTTTGGCTGCTTAAGCAGATTTCTTTCATTTCCTGTTATTGCTCTCTCATGTTAGCCCTTGAGTTCATATCATTAAAGAGTTCATCTCTTTCCTAGGAAGAGACAACCCATTCTCCCGTGATGGGTAGGTGTATATACATTTCTGCAGTCTATTGAGTTCTCTCTTTTGCTATAAAGACTGTTTGTTTTTTTAATTGTCAACTGCCGGTTCCAGGTGTCAATATTGGTTAAGTTTAGAACCCTGCAAAAGATTGGAAATGAAGCAAAAGTAAAACCTCAGCACTTTCTGGTTATTGGAACCACTAGGATTAGTATATGGGGCTGAAGCAAAAGTTATACCCTAAATGTGTTTTCTTCAGGTTTTTCAAATTTACTGTTTTGAGAGATCTTAACTCCTTTATAAATAATTAGCTCATATATAATTTCAAGAAATTTGAATAGTACTTAAGTTTACAGTAGAGTTTGATTCGTAGACCTCAAATGAAAAACAATTGAACTGATAACCATCTTAATGCTAGTCTGTTTGAATATGATAAAATTGATGAGCATGCAGTATGTACATTTAATTCTTTATCTCAGGAAGCCAGGACAAATCTCTACATTTGAGTACAAGCAAATCAAATAGAGCTGATTGCAAAGTTAGGGCAGTGATCCGCTCTTTCTCCCTGTAGTCCGTATCTACTTCCATGTTTCAGTTCTGCATTTCTGTCTTTTGTGTTCTCTATTTTCCTTTTCAGATTTTATGAAATTTTTAAATATTATATGCCCCATGTGCCTTTGTCTGAGGACATCTACCTGAGTTCTGATGGACTCAGTTCAAGAGCCCCACAAACCTGTAATTCTCTTGTACCTAGGTTGGATTTGATAGACTCAGCTTGAATTATGTGTTTGCTTCTACAGTGGGTAGTCATATGGTAGCTCAGCATTTACTGAGTAGAAACTGTGGAAACAGATTCTACGAGTGCAGAAGAAGGCATTAGGAGGGCAGGCAGATGAAATCTGTGGTGTGTGATTACTTTCTTTTTGGTGTATGGTTATTTTCTTTTTGTTTTTAATTCTCCATGTCAAAGCTCCATAGTTTGGATATTTGAGTGCTGTTAATGAATGTTATGAACGGAGTAGCCTATGACTAAACACTGATTTTTGTCATTAGTTTTTAACTTTTTTTATTAAAGAGTATATAGAATAATAACTTTGTAAAATAATGTTCAAAGCAACCACTAGCTTAAATATTCAGGTTTTATAGAGAAAGTGTACTAGACAGTGGTTAAGAGCTAGGACTCTTGAGTCAGATTAGCCTTAAATCCTAGTTCCGCTACTTGTAAACTGTAGCCTCTCGGGGCTCTAGTTACTTCTTGAATTTTTTTTTTTTCATTTATAAAATAGCAACGATAATATTTATTTACCTCAAGAATTGTCCCGAGGATTGAATTAGATGACCCATATAAAAGGTCTCATTTTAAGTGTCTATGTTACATGCTAAGTGTTCAGTAAGTGTTAGCTATTAGTATCTTTTTTTCACTAAAACTTGCGTTAGTTGTATCGTTTACATAGTTGTCAGTCCAATGATCATTACCTCAGTGGCCTGAAAGATACACAGAAGTTATAGGTTGTAAATTTAGCTAAATTTGACTTTAAAAGCTACCTTTTTTTTTTTTTTTTTTTGAGGGAGAGTTTTTTTGCTATAGGCACGTGTGCTTGCCTGAGAGACAGAGAGACAGAAAGCAAGAAATTACCCCCATTGGGGAAGTGGGGGTGATGGCTGATGGCCATGCAGCAATCCCTTCTCCTCCATTTTCCTCTCAGGATTTTGGGCATGCATGTGGCATGAGTTTCAAGCAGCTGGGTCTGGGACTCAACTTGGTTGAGTTATGGAAGTTCAGCAAAGTAACCGTTACACCATCTGCTGGTCCCCAAAAGCTACTTTTTAACACCTATTGAGGTTATGATAAACTGTACATATTCAGAGTTTATACTTTAATATGTTTATGCCACACTTTTTATATTCATCTATCTGTTGCTACTTAGGTCATTTCCTCTTTTTGGCTGTTATAAATAAGGTAGTTATGAATATTCATGTACAAGTCTTTGTACCATTCTACTTTCCCACGAGCATTGTGTAAAGATTTCCATTCCACATCTTTGCTATGATTTGGTATGGTCAATTGGAAGCTATTTTTTAAACGATTACCTTTTCTAAGGCCAGCAGGTTGCATGGTAGTTAAGACGTTGAACTCCCACATGGCCAACCACAGTTAGAGTCCTAGACCTGGCAGCTTGAAATAATACTGTGGTGTGTGTGTGTGTGTGTGTGTGTGTGTGTGTGCATGTGCACGCGCACACCCCAAATCCTGAGAAATGGAGAAGGAATGGCCATCCTCTCTGGGGGGTGATTTCTCGCTTACCCTCTCTCTGTCTCTCTCTGACTCTCTCCCATAAGTACATATGCTCTATGGCAAAAACCTTGAAAAAATTATTATGCTTTCATATTCTTCTTATGTTGTTATAAAAAACATATATAAGGATTATTTGGGAAAAGTTCAAAAATTGTCAAATAGCTAAAAATTTTTAAGCTAGTTATAAAAGTCTTTGGAGTTACTATAAAGGTAAGAGATATTGCTAAAGATGTTGGAAAATGGGAAGATACAGTTCTCTTTTAAAAACCTAATTTTGTAATGTGCATACCTGTTTCATATGTGCATTTTCTTCCTTTGATAGAGTTTTCCAGAAAAGGATCTTCTGCACTGTCCATCTAAGGATGCAATTGAAGCTCATTTTATGTCTTGTATGAAAGAAGCTGATGCATTAAAGCATAAAAGTCAAGTAATCAATGAAATGCAGAAAAAAGATCACAAGCAGCTCTGGATGGGATTACAAAATGGTAACTATAGCAGTGTTCAATTTTAGAATACCACTTTGCAGAATATGATAAAGTCGTAACCCTGTGAGTATTTGGTACATTTTAGAATTGGTAGTACAGATTTAAATTCAACCTCTGTACCCAGATTTGCACAGAAGCTACTTTTTGTCATCCCTTACACTCTCCCAATGTTGCTTTGTTCATGAATTCTCTAGTATTAGACCAATTGCTGAGCTTGTAACATTTGACAGTATAAACTTCGTGTCTTGCTTCTGAAGAAAGTGCCCTTACTCCTCAGGTGTTACCCTTCTGGGATCATAATTTACAGCCTTGGGTATGTAACAGGATACTTTCACTTGGGCAGGGATTTAACTCCATCCTCTGCTTTATCAGAATAGTAAATTTGCTTTGTGCTTGGATTCCCTCCGTCTTTGCTGTGATGGAGAAATTTTCTCAAGGAAAAAGCCAAGGAAACGTGGATCTTATTTCTGTATTATCTTTTGGAGACCATAGCTCCTTAATCTTGCATTGATTAACCCCTACCACAGGACATTCCAACAGTTGTTTTCTATATAAACAGTCCTTACTTTACATGGTTCCAATATGCAGACATTTCAGTGACCATTGGTTTAGTTAAGTAATACCAGTCCCCCAACTATTTGGTTTAAATTTCAGGGACCATGGTGTGTGAGTGTGGGTATTTTTTTCCTTCTTTTCTTTTATAAGAGAGAGACAGACAGGTAGGTACCCTTGAGAGGGTCTCACTGTGCCACAGTCCTCCCAGCCAGCCAAGACCACAGGCACATGTGGGCATACCTGTTGTGTTCAGGTTGACCTAGGATATAAGCCTGGGCATCACATGTGGCTCCAGTATCACACAGGGGTACCCAGTCACCTGTACCGTTGTGGCTAGGCCATCATTTTACCCCTATTTCTCACCCTCTGCCATTTCCCATGCTCTTCCCACACTATCTCAGGTATCTACCTACAGTGGTTTTACATTCTCCCCCCACTCCCATTTTATTGATGTACAAAATTTCTTAAATAATCTTACTTTCAATAATAAGTTCAGCTGGTATATATATATCTGTGAATACATGACTGACTTTAGGTGTGGAACTCTAAGTAGAATGAATATACTGTAAGGTAGTGTTTAGCTAATGCTAAATAGCTCTACTATGGTCATCAAATAGGTATTTTTTAATGTTATTTTTTTAGTTTCAAGAAAAGCAGTTTTATCAAAGAAATGCTAAGAAACTGCCTAAAACTGAAAGCCAGGAAACAGCTTAGGATTCTGGTCAAATATTAGGTACATGAACCTATCGGCAGCTCAAGACAGGACAAAAATCCTTAAACTGGAAAACAAAGCCTAGAAGAAAATCAGCAATATTTTAGTCAAAAGTCATAAGGTTCTATTTCACCCCAGTTTAGTCTCATGTACTTATTCTATCTTCTGTTGTGATTTGATCTTCTCGATTCAATTCTGGAATATAAAATTCAACTCCAGACTTGTCCCTACGATTAAGTTGGCCACATTCTCAGTTTTGAACTCTTATTTCTGTGTGTCAGTATGTAATTTTCCTGGTATAGCACTCCCTTGAGAACTTCTTGGAGATCTGGCCTGGTGTTGGTAAATTCTTTCAGGTTTTGTTTATCTGAGAATGTTCTTGTCTTTACTTCCCATATGAAGGACAATCTTGCTGGGTGCAGTATTCTTGGTTGAGATTCTTTTTCCTTAATACTTTGAATATATTTTCGCATTCTTTCCTCCCTTGGATTGTTTCTGGTGAGAGGTCCGCTGTTAGCCTGATGGGATATCTTTTGTAGTTAACTTGCCTTTTCTCTCTTGCCAATCTGAGTATCTTGTCTTTGTGGTTTTGGTCATTCTGGCTATAATATATCTTGGAGAGATCTTCTTGGGTTGATTCTATTGGGGTATTTCTTGAGACTGTATCTTTGAATGCCTCTCTAGGTTTGGAAAGTTTTCTTGCAGGATTTCATGGAATAGATTATCAGTGCCTTTATGAGTCTCTTCACCTTCTGGGATACCAATTATCCGGATGTTTGGACATTTGATGGTGTCTAGTATTTCTCGTATATTAATTTCACTTTTGGGGGCAATTTTCTCAGTCTTTGAGGTGAATTTTTCTAGGCCAGTCATTCTAACTGCTACATCTGAGATTCGATTTTCTGTATGATCAAATCTGCTTTTAATATTTTCAAGGGAGATTTTGACTTCCTTTATTATAGCCTTCATCTCTAACAGTCCCATTTGATTCTTTTTTATAGTATGTATTTCCTCTTTTAGATCTTGAAAGAATTTCCTCACCTCTTGGAATTCCTCAGCTGCTTTTCCTGCCTCTTCTGCAGTTCATTGTCTCTCTTCTCTTCCATCTCTTTTAGCTTTGTTACTATGAATATTCTAAATTCTTTATCAGACATTTCTTTGAGTTTCATTGTACTGTCTGAGGATGAAGAGGAGTTATTCTTTTCCATAGGAGGAGAGGTATTTTCTTGCTTCCCCATATTTCTTGTGACCCTGCAGTGATTTCTAGTCATCTGGTGGATGGTGCGTTTCTCTTAATTCTTGAAGTTCAATCTGAGCTTCAGAGGTGAGCAGAAGGAGGTGATCAGCAATCACTCTCCTCTTCTATTTTCACTCTTTGATTCAGTGGGATTAGAGGAATTTTTGACCCTGATCTCATTCAGATGTTTGGATCCTGTTCACTTGGACTTATCTAGACATTTAGTGAGAAGAGGCTGAGCAGCCAATGAATAAAGAAAAAAAGGAAAAGAATTAGAGAAGAGGAAAGAAGTAGAAAAAATAAAGTAGAAAAGAAGAAAGAAAAACTGATACTAAAAAAATTTATGTTTTAACTTTAAGAACCAAAAAAAAAAAAAAAAATGAAAACCACATGGCGCAAGTGCAAAAACAGTATTTCAGAATTCAAGTTCAGCATCTATCTCAGAATGGGCCTGGCCTAGGTTTGTGCCTTTCCTAAATGAAATGGGGAAAGGCAGCAATTAGCATAATAAAGGAGAGGCTTGAAAGCTCAGAGAATACTTTACCTTTAAAAAAAATAAAATTTTTAAAAAATCACAGGGAGACAGAGAGACAAAGAGATATGGAGAGAAGGAGACAGAAGTAGCCCTACCCCCTAGAAATGAATCTGGTGGAAGAAGCCTCAGCAGAAAATCTTCATTTTTGGTCAAGGGAAGCAGTATTTCAGAGTTCAAGCTCTGTATCCATCTCAGGATGAGCTTGGCCTGGGATTGTGCCTTTCCCCCTAGAAATGAATCTGGAGGAAGAAGTCTCAGAAGAAAATCTTCATTTTTGGTCAAGGGAACAATATTTCAGAGCTCAAGTTCAGTATTCATCTCAGGATCTTGGGTGTGGATTTACAGTTAATAGTTATGAAAAGAACAAGGGTCTAGTTTTTTAGTTTCAGCTCTACTAGTAGTCATTTGCCAGATGACTCAGCCCCTTTGAGCTTCACTGTCTTAATTCATTATTAGAGAGAATATTTGCCAGATTGTCTTATAGGTGTCTATAGAGGCTTTAATGAAACACTAACACAGTTTATGTGAAAGTGTTTAAAAATAAGTAAAGCTACCTTGATAAAAAGAATTATTGAGAGCTCAGTTGAGACGTAAGGACAGGCTTGGCCAACTTGGATCATAGATCAGCCACCTGTTTCTGTAAATGTAACTTGAACCTAGCCGCACTCATTCCTTTATGTGTTTTCTTGACTGCTTTCCTACTACAGTAGAGAGTTCAGTTATTGTTCTTGGGACTACATGCCTTCCCAGCGTATTTATTGTTTTGCCCTTTAAGAAAATGTCCATCCATAGAAGGTTGATCAGACTTAACAGTTCACACTACTGTTGACCTAAAGTAGGACTCACAATTTCATATATTCAAAATTTGATAGAACTTAATGCATCACTTAATGTAAGTGCTATTATTAGGTATAAAATGCCTTCTTACTTTTTTTTGCCTTCACTCATGTTCTTATGTGACTATCACAGAGAGTTACCTTTAGTAAGTTTGATTTTATTAGTTTTAAAGTGGAGCTTGATTAAATATAACATAGAATAGAATCTGGTTAAAATAGACTCTTTTCAATTCTGGGTTTTGGCTCCACGAGGCTGATCCACATGAGGAGGTTCCACATTCACATATGAATACACCCTTGAACATGCCAGGTGCATGTGTGCCCTTGATCCAGGGCTGGTTGAAGCTAGGGGGTGGATCACAGTGTGAAAAACTGTGTTAGGTTGGATTGGTCTGTCTCCTATGTCTCTTATGCATGGAAGAAAGAAATTAACTTTAAACAACGTGTGTCTGTATGAGTAAAATGCAAAATGTTCATTAAATTTAGGTAAATTGATGAAAGATGGGCATTTTCCATTTCACTTCTTCCATCTGGAGTGCTCTTTTCTCCTTAACTCCTTTTTTCTTTTTTTCTCCATTGGTTGAGTATATGTGTGCTGACCAGAGAGAGGAAGAGGGAGGATGCACAAACACTCATGGGGCATGGCCATGCTGCAACCCTTTCTCCTCCTTTTCTCCATCCTATTGGGATTTGGGGCATGCATGCACACACACCGAGCGTGTTTTTCCAAGCTGCCAGGGCTAGGATTTGAACTGAGGACAGCCATTTGGAGTCCAGTTCTTTTAACCACTAGGCTGTGAGGTTAGCCCTCTCTCCCCTTTTGTGCATTTAAGTTCTACTCATGTTTTAATGCTCGTCTCTGTTGTCACCCTCTATATGAAGCCGTCCTTTTATTGTTTTAGTCAGCAGATATCTTACTGAATGTGTAACATGTGACCCTGTGCTAAGAGCTAGTAATCATCCCACACTAGTTCAGAGCTCACAGACAAGTGGAGGCAGAGCTGTGTGTGCTTTCATGCCATGCGGCTCCTTGCCCATTTATATGCATCTGTGCTGTAGTCTCCTCTTATTTCTTCTTCCTGCTGTGATTTTGGACATGCACATGCAGGCATGTACACCTGGCAT